CACTGACTGACACTGAGTTGCAAGTAACTGCTGCGGACGTACGTTAACTATGACAGCGTGAGCGCTGCAGAAGCTGGTATAGCATGGCACTAGTATATAAGGTACACGCTAGTGCAGCAAATGCACTAGCAGAGTGGAAAGTATCTCGTAATGCAAATCCAGAACTTTCAGCAGAGTAAACGCCGCTATGATGAAGTTGTAAGAGGGCAAACGGAAGTACTACTTTTGGTCGGTTTTTGTTTTCGAGGCGAATAGAACGAAACTGTCAAAATGGCGTATGTAAATGAAGAATTGAAACTTTGGTACTTCGGTACTTCGGTACTTTGTTGCTTTCGCTAACATAAAAATGAGAAATAAAAACTGCACAAAATTGAGTTTCAGATAAAAAATTTATGTCAAACAGTTTGAGTTGTAGACTAAAAAACAGAAAACCAAAAAAAAGTAAATTATAAAAAATATTGTATGTGTGGAAGGAGTGCAGGAAATGAGTAAAAGCAAAAGTTGCGCTGGATTAATTTAAGCAGAGCATGTGCTAAGATTCCATATGCAAATGCTGATTTTAGCTTACGTATTTGAGTTGTGTCAGCTGAATTGGTTTTATCTGGTACTATAGCTTTCTGTTTTTGCCAGCTACCTTTAGATTTTTTAACTGATTTTAGGTTGATATGAATGATTTATGTGCAAGTGTTGCACACATTATCCTGTGCAGTATGTTTGTTGCTAACAATTGTGATCTAACCTAAGTCAACTTAACTCAATCTTTTTCTATTTCTTTATTTTCTATGCTCATTTTTTATGTGAACCATTTGAAGAAGATTTATTTTTGCAACTTATGCGATACTTTATTCTTTGACATTATCCTAACAGCTTTAGCTGTTCTTCTGCTTTAGAATTGCATTATTTTAGTTGCTGTTGACACATTTGTTTACTTAACTCAGCAATCTAAAATAAATAAGATTTCTACAAGTATTTTCAACTACTGAAGAGCAAACGAATTTGTAACACTGCACTTGAGACTAACAAAACTAACAACTATCATATAGAAATACATTTTTGTATTTTACCAATTTTTAGAAATATTTTCTTTTAATATTTTTTTATTTTATATTTTTAAAGTTGAAAATAGATTTCACAATGCTTTTCTTTGTATGAATTTTAAATTAAATTTCTTAATGGAAAATAAAATTTCAAAAATCTCCAGGCAATTTTTAGTATCTTGTCAGTTGAGTTTATTGCTTTATCAATGATAAAATACTAGCTAACAAAATATTTATTTTCTATTTTCATAAAATAAATTTTAATAACAAACGATAAAATTGTTTTATCACAAATTCTGTTATTGACAGAATGATACTTCAACCAATTTTTAAAATAAAAACAAATTAAGATATCCTTTGAAATGAACAAGACATCTTTCGAATGTCTTTTTGCCTTAGAATATTTAATTCTATTCAACAAAATAAAATTTAAATAAAATTTTTTTTAAATAATTCAAAAATTCTGATCATTTAATTAGTTTATAAGCTCTCACTTAAAATAAAATATTTATATAAAAATATTGCAATAAGATATGTTATGGCTTAAAATTCAATATACCTTTGTTGCACTGCATCCTCTGTATGATAAAAACTAAGTATTTTGATTTCTTTTTTTGATTTTCCAATAGCTTTGGGTGCTAAATAAATCGTGTTTTACAATGTCAGTATATCAAAGCCCTCTTTGGATACGGTTCCAGATGAAACGAGCTCGTTTCTGATCAGTGCTTTGTATAAAGGCGACAAATTTTTTTATTATTTATAGTTATAAATCTTTGAAAGAAATTTTTCATCCAAGCATAGCACAAACAGTTCTAAGTTTATAAACTTAAATATCAAATGAAAATATTATTCAAAACAATATACCATAAACTATAACGAAAAATGTATTTTCTAATTTCGACAACAGTTATACTTTTGTAATCGTTGCAAGGATCATAAAACTCTTTGTTAAGAATAGTAAAATAAATTCACTTTAATTCCTTTTATTGCATTATTCACAGAAAATTTTTCAGCCGAAACAAGTAGGACGAATTGTAACAAACCCCAGTCGTTTTAGTGAATTTCTTACACCAACTTTATTGCATTTCATTACACATGCATCTACTCGTACATACTATGGTTAAAAAATGGATGTCTTCATAAACCTTTCATTGTTTAACATTAAAATTTATTATTATTTTAACACAGCGGATGTGGGATTGATAAAATGTTTCGAAATCCGTACAATATTTGAACCAGCAAATCCAGAATAAAATCATATAAATATGAAAATAGATGTAATTAAATAATAAATTAATAAAACTAAATTATATAAATAAAATAAATTAATATAATATAATAAACATAAATGATCGGAAATTCAAATATATATATTAATTATTTTAAAAATATGCTCGACATATCACCCAATGATCAGTTATCCAAAAAAATTAGAAATGGTTAAGTCCACAACACAAAAGTTGAAGTAAGTTAAACGTTACTTGGATTTTTCTTTTTACGGATGAAAAAAGTTCTCTAGATATTTTTATAAATCAAAATAATAAAAATTTGAGATAACCTTATTCTAAGCTTAAAGTAATCATAAAGCTGAGATTAACTTTCGATATGTGGTAAACCAAGTTAGCGATCTTATGTTTGCTTACAGATACTGATAATTAGACTAGCACTACTTTATGGGTGTGTCGCGTATAGCAAACGTGCCAACTCTACTATCCAAAAGCTATAGCTTACTCAAAGTCAGGCTCTCTGAAGGCTCTTCAAAGTGTCATGGTACATCCGCACTAATGACATGCTAAGAGACTTTAGAACAGATCCGGTCAAAAAATACATAAGGGACAGAGCTCTGAAGCTATATGCGAAAACCGACAGGCTGCTCTACTTAACACTATCTAATCTCAGAGTAATCACTAACCGCAGGGGGCGGTACTCAGATCTTAGGTCAATCATGGAGTAATCACGAAGTTTATGAGGAATACTCAAAGTAGTCAGTGAGATGGGTGGGACTCTGCAGCAATCCCCCAGCCATCATAGAGTAAAAGTGTCCAGATGCACTAACTCTGCCCTAGCTTCTACACTGCTCACATAATCTGTTAATAATTGTTCTTGGCATATAATTTTAGAGGAACTAAGTAAAGAATCACTTAATAGTTTCGTTATATGTAAATTGCTATAACTGCTGTCGTTACATTCCTTTAAATAGTTATACATTGCATATATCTCTTAAAGTTCTTAACATTATTTCCTAAAGAATATTATACAGCATATACCATACTAATTTGAGCTGATATGAATATATAGTAAGCCACTTCACATCCTTTACGAACAGAATTAATTTCAAATAGATTAATTGAAGTAAATTAAGGTCAAAGTACTAGCTTAAATGAAATACAAAGTAAACCTCTTCCCTTCCCTTCACTTACGAACTTAACTAAGTTTAAATAGATACATTGATGTCAAAAAAAATAAAATTACCGCTGATATGAAATATGAAATCAACTCCTACACTTTACTTATGGATTTAACTTAGCTAAAATAGATATATTAAAATAAACAAAAGTTCAAGTGCCAGCTTATATGAAACATAAAGTAAACTCCTTCACTCCGTTTACAAATTTAACTAAGTTCAAATAGTTACTTTAAAATAAACAAAAGTCAAAGTGTCAGCTTATATGCATTACATAGTAAACCCCTAAATTTCACTTACGAACTTAACTGAGTTTAAATAGACATATTAAAGTGAATAAAAATCGAAGTGCCAGTTTATATGAAACATAAAGGAAACTCTTTCACTTCGCTTACAAATTTAATTGAGTTCAAATAGTTACTTTAAAATAAATGAAAGTGGAAGTGCCAGCTCATATGAATTACATAGTAAACCCCTAAACTTCACGTATTAAAGTTAACGAAACTCAAAGTGCTAGTTTATATTACTAAAAAACCGAAAAACGAATACAAAGTAGAATAAAAAATCTAATCGAAAAAAGTGCTCGCTAATTGTACTAAAAATGCAAAATAAAGAAATTCTGTATAAACATTTTCAGTCTTAATATGATTGCAAATAAAACAGTTGTATGGAAAAAATTCCAAATGCTGTCCCTCAACAAAAACGCTACTATGTCCTTTGGGTTACGATAAAAACGGAATTGTTTTAACTCAGTCCTTCTCTCTGTTTATTATTTATCTTCAAAAGATGTTTACTTTTTAACAAATTTCTGGCCGCCAAATATTATTTTCGTAGTCGACTTAGTCCTTGCCTGCATTTGACCTAGATTTTTGTGTCGAGTCTCATTCAATCTATTATCCGTTTTTGTATTTTGATTCGAAATTTAGTTTCAGTTTGTGTTTCTTTTTACATGTAGGTATCTGTTGTTGTCTTTGCTGTTGTTTTTGTTGTTGTTTTTGTAGCTGTTTTTGTACTATTTTGCATCATTAGTGTGAAAGCAATTTAATTTGCTTGTGAACTTCGCTGTGCCGAAAGTCATTAAATTTGTTTACTTTATTTATTTATTTTTTGCTTGCGCTGCGACATTGCATATCCTGCATATCCTTGCCAAGTTATTCTGCAATTTGCGGTGCTGAACGTATGTTGTTTATTTGTAAATAAATGTCGAGTAAGTATTTCAACTTCTGTGACGTTATGTGAGGGGAATTATGAAATTCATTTGATTTTTGGGTTATTAAAACCATTGACTGTGGTTTGAAATTTGGCAAAATTCCATATCGTTTATTTGACAAATAACTTTAGACCGAATTTTAATTGATTGAAACCAATAAAAACTCTGGTTTATGGAAATTCTGATTAAAGAAAATGATTGACAATAATTGAACACAACGTTTACTTAATATGGTTTTAGAAATTAAACTTTGTTATACACATACTCAGACTATAGTATCATAATTTATATATGAAATAGTAGAATAAATAAAATAAAAAATTAAATAATTTTGTTTTCTTTTTTGCAGATGCATCACCTGGTTGTAAAGCACCGAACATGCGGGTCACTGTTATTAAACCAGAATCAGGGACTGAACGGCCTTATGCAAAATTTGAAACCACACCAGCCAATTTACCAGAAGACTTCACCACAGTGGATGTTGAATATGTTGAAAAAATAAATATTGACCTGACTTCCAACTCTGCGGCTAATGATAACAAAATGGCTGTAGTAAATCCATATAAAATTGATGTGGAGGGAGAAGAGCATACGACAGCTTTAATTTCTGAAGATACAGCCGCAATAGATGATGAAGAAGAGGATGATGTCACTGAAACGGAAGATACGGCACACAAACGTCTAAATCATAATCGAAAATATAATAAAAAACGACGCTCAGGTTCTAGTCGTCGACGTCGCATTGAAAATGAGAATGGTCAAAGCCGCGGTCGTGGCAGCCGTTACAAGCGACAAGTCATACATCATGACCCAGATGCTTCTCCCGAGACAGACAAATGGAGTGGCAGTAAGTTGGCAGCTGAAGGCGATGTCTACTATGTACACATTGAAGACATACTAAAATCCCAATCACCAAATGCAGAGTTGCGGTTAAAATTGCATAAATTAAAAAAGAAATCAAAGCAAACAAAATGCAGTGCGAATGAGAATAAAGAACAATGCAAGAAAGCGGCAGCGAAAAAGAAGAAGAAAAAGGTTAATGCAACTGATGTTGAGGGAAAACTCGCAACAAACAACAAGAAAACGCCAAAGACTATAAAACAAGAAAAACAAGAACAACAACATCATCGTAGACGTGGCGATAGTCATGAAGATAAACAGGAACGTGTACATGAACATCAGTTACAAAAACGCGATGTTAATCCAAGATGGCATAATACTGTTAGTTTCGACAATGACACACAGCAACCGCAACCCATTGATAATGGCTTTGAGGATGATGTAGATGAAATTACTGCCGATGCTGATGCCGATACCGCTGCCTCTGCCTCTGTCTCAGCCACAGATGTCGCTGATAATGCACTAAACGCTGAGATATTAAGTGCTGATAAAATTTACATCAACATGACGAGCGATGGCCTCCAACGCGTCAAACGCAAATCGGGTAAAACCACAGGCGCATTAAGTCGTCCGAAGGGTGGCGGTGATTCCAGTTCAAAGACCACTAGCCGTAAGGATAAGGGTAAGTAAAATATGTAAAAATATGAAAAAAATGTATGAAAGTATATAGCGTTTTTAAGTTTCCCTTACGTTTTGATGGACATAAATTTTATTACGTTTTCTCTATCACTCAGAACTTTAATGGTTGGCTTAGGTGCCGAAGGCTTAGAAATACATAAAAAGTGACTTAGCTCTTATACTTGCCATTATATCGAAACAGTAATTTTTTTCATCTTCCTCACATTTTGTACATCTTACCTTTTATGGAAAACCCATTCTCCTTCTCCAGCCGGCTTTTTATCTTAATTTTAGTTATATTTTCATGGCGTTTGTTTGTTTTTTGATTAAGTGAAATTGCCTTCTTTGTGCTACTGACATTGCATAGCCGGTAGGTTGTTGTTTCATTGATGCTTGGTGAAGGGTTAATGTGTCCGCATAATATTATCCTATCCTGTCCAACACTCTTTAAACTTTCAAGTCAAATATGTTTGTTTCGACGAACTGAAGCTGAGTATCTCATGAATGTAAAATAATATCATCAGCATCAGGCATCTTCTTTGCTTACCTTCCCTTTTTACTTGCCACGTAGTTTATTTTCTTTTCTTTTCTGTTTTTTTTTTTGTTTCCTTTGTTTTGTTTTCTTCAATTTCCTTTCAGACTCAAGTGTTATTGAAGTTTTTCATTCGTTTTGACTTTTTTCCTGTACTCGCACACATAGGCTGGCTGAGGGTTAATGTGGCTTTTATCATTTTATGGGGTTAATTTAAAGTGTTTTTGTTTGCTTTATGAGGTGCCTTTGCTACTTTAACTAATTCTCAAGTGTTGAGATATTTTTATGTACTTCGGGGAACCCTTTTGTGGATTTTATTTATGGAATTTCAACGCTTGTTAAAATTTATATTTTTGTTAAAACATTCTTAAGTAGGGTTAACCATTTCACTTTAGATTTTATGGATTAGCAATGTAAGTTTGCTATTTTGCATTACAAAAAACTCAAATAGATGAAACTAAAAAAAATTTTATGAGTGAATATTATAGTTGTTTTGTAGATTTTTATATGATTTACCACTTCTGCGCTCATAAATGCAAGTTTTAATATAAAATAAAGACATCATGTATACACTTAAACCAACTTCACAAGTACTTTCCTTCAATCAGAGGGCTACATAAAATGAATTTATTATGATTATAAATATTTGAAAGGCGCATAACATTTCAACAGTGTCATCCTGTGAAGTAGCGTAACATATAGCAACAAGCCAGACTTTTTTAGTCCTTGTCATAAAAAAGATATTGTAAAATTTTTTTTTGAAATTTATCTTAAAATAAATCTTTCGGTTGCACATATAAAATAAATGTATAAAATAAATGTATAAAATATATATATTAAATTTATTAAATAATAATAATAAGCAAAAAATACTTAGAACTTAAATAACAAAGTTGTCTCCATGGAAATATTCATTTGAGACGGGCACTTCTTATTTCACACGAAATACTTGAGATATACTCGTGAATGTTTTACTTACTACTTCAATCAAGAATTCAGCACTTCTATACAACTCATCATTTAACCGTCCACAGACAGAATTGTTAATGACAGTGAAAAGGGTTCGAATAAAAGTGAAAAAACAACAACAAAAATTTTTGCTAATTTATTGAAGTTTGACTGACCATACAACGCTGTTTCGAATATACTCAACATCAGTTATCTTAGGGAATATTCGACTAATATTAATTATTATAACTAATATTAATAAGTTTATAGTTCGTATATAATTTGTTTGAACTGCAATTGCCAAGTTTATAACCCGTGCCTGTTAAATTAGAAGCGACGTTTAATCGTGTCTTTCCACAAGTAGCCAAAAAAGAGCAAACTTTTAATGCCCAACTTCCAAGTTTTTTGTCACTTTTTTATTTTTTAAGTGATAGTAACCCACTTGTTTTTAATTAGAACGAGCTTATAAACTGCAGTTTTATTTGAAACACAAGATCAACGTATTGAAAGTTAATTCTTTAACTTTAATTATTTTTATAGGTTACTGAGGTTAATTTATCAAAAACATTAACAGATCTTGTAAATTGTTCACATTTTTTCCTATTGAAAATGGTTTTTATATAATGCCCTATATTCCTTTATAATCCAAAACATAGCTGTTTAATTTTAACCTACACATAAATGCATTAAAATTCTGTTAAACTTAACAATTTTCAATCATATTGATTTTATTTATATATCCTAAATATCTAGAGCATGTAACAACAAGTATTCCGTACTGTTCGATACATAAAATAGCTTAATAGGAATTAATTCTGGATAACCAAAGCCCGCTTTCTGCTGCAAAAAGCATAATTTTCGCTTTTAGTTGAAAATGGTAAATGCATCGAATTTAGTTAAGTGCAGTGCAAACTATTGAACTGTAAGCGACTCAAAATTCAATTACTTGTTTGAAGGACTGGGCGGCATCACAAGAAATATCCGATGAATTTATAGGAGTGTACTCTATATAAACACCAAAAGCAGCTCAAATACAATTACTGAGTGAATAGAGCGCTCACGTTTCTGCCGACAACATTATGCATACTTCACATCGTTTGACCTGGGAGTAAATTGCTAAATAACAAGATGCATGAGGTGAAAGATGAGTTGAGTTTCTGATTGAAATGCATCAAATTCAGTACCTTACAGTTGTAAAGTTATGGAATAGTAAAACATTACAGAGGTTGTTAGTATATTATATCTTGCCCATAAAAAGCCGCCACTTTTTACTTGAACCTTTATAAACTTAACAAAGATCTGGCATGCTTTCTAATCAGAGTAAACTGATCACTTTATAAGATATGCTTCTGTTAACTATTATATTACTTTTCCATAGGGAACATCTACCCAACAAATACGCTTGTGTCTAGTTTAAAAAAGGCTACAATTCAATCGTTGCAACCTTATCGAGCCGTTAGTTTCTTAGAGAAGAAGAATATCTTAACACTACGAAATATACACATGTCATATACACATGAACTCAAACATACATACATTTGTTGTAAAACCACGTGTCAAAATCGAAAAGTGTAAACCCACTCAAGTAGCCCATTAAGGTCAGCGAATAAAAGGTTTAGCCAGCTTAAACTATGTTAATACAAAATCTGATCAAACGCATTTTATACAACTTATTAGTTAATCGTGGCTAAATAAAATTGTAAATCTAGAACTCTTTTTAATAAAGTAATTTTAAAAATAATTTGGGTATTCACAAAGGTCTGCTTATAACTAATGTGACATAATGGTAGAGTGTTAAAAATTGCAGTGATAACACATAAGTTTTGTTGATATAAAATATTTTATATTGTTTAGAAATATGTATATCAAGTACTTATATTTGATTTTCACTTAACCAAATAAGGTTATTTATTTAATTGGCCATTAAAGACGTGAATCGTCCTTGGCCGCGTTGAGTAGTCCTCCGCCAGCCAGCTCGATCAGTGACTTGGTGTCGCCATTTGGGTCAGTACCATGCGTTCTCAAAATATTGGCCATCTGGTCCTGTCATCGAACATACGGGCGTCGTTTATTTGGTTTTCTAACTGCATGTACCAAATCAAACACCTTTCTAGCCATAGCAGTTTCTTCCTTTCACTCGACATAACCCAGCCAGCGAAACCGCTAAATTTTTATATGCTTAACTATATCAATGTCGCGAAATGGCTCATATAGCTCATCGTGCCATTCAATTCGATACTCGTTGCCAACCAAATAAGGTCAAGTGCTTTCATTATCCTCTGCAGATTAAATACGAAATGGAAATAGTTACATTTGCGATTGGGTCACTTCATAGCCATTTGTAGGGAATGTACCTTAACAGATAAAGTGAAGAGCAATATATTTACTTTCAAGTTCTGGGAATATAATTTAATTATAGTACTAAAATAACATCATTGCTATTATTTCTTGAAAGTAATTTAAATACTTTATTGTTTTATGTAAATAAGCCATACAGGAAAATCATATCATACAACACACATTATGTTTGCTTCATTTGTTTGTAAATATTTATGCATTATACATAATATCACATATGGTGGCACTAATAACAATTTAGAACTCACATATAAACGTTTTAATTATTATTTGCAGGCATTTTCGATGAAGAAGGTGGCTATGCGCCTGTTCATCCGGACGATACTGATTCAGGAGAAGAAGAGGAGGAAGATGAGGAGGTCGACATAGAGCAGCAGTTTACTGAAGTTTCTGAAATTCGTTTCCCTGGTGAGATTGGACCACTTGGTGATCGACGTCTGTGCAAAATACGTTGTATTAAAGGCAAATGGGTCGGACCGTTGTGCGCAACCAATGAGGAGGGTAAGTGGTACAGTGTACGTTAAAACTCAACTACAAAACACAACAGCACAATGCATACAAAAAAAAAGCAATAAATAATAAAAACTAACAAAGAGCAAAACAGTTTTCATAGTAAAAAATAATAATGCATATTAAAAGAGCAACAAAACATTTAGCAGCTCAAAAACACAGCGTAGTTTATTTAATTGTTTATATCACATAACATACATACATTGCACTAAAAAAATATTGATTATACAAATTTTCAAAAATATTAACACATTATTGCATTCAAATATTGTTCTCCCAACTTTGAAGTAGTTAACTTACAATAAACATGAAAAAAACATTAAAGCACAGCATTTTTATTTACTCAACTATTAAACAATATACTATATAGAATAATTTTGTTTAAATAACATGAAAACCAATAACAACACTCCATACTGCACACATTCCAGAGAAGTAGTGAATTAATTCGAAAGTATTTTATTTGAAAGTAGATTATTTTATTTAAATTATTTTAAAAGCAAACCAATTTGATAATAGCTATGTATGAATAATTTAAATAAATTTAAATATAACTTAATTTTAACTTATAATCGTATTTTGAAAACGTCCACTCAAGTGTATCTAAATGCAATCTTAAGTGTAAGATTAGTATATCTTAAGTGTAAGATTAAAATCTAAAGTGTAAGATTAATAACTTAAGTGTAAGGTTAATTAATTAAATGTTATTAATCATCAAATCAAGTTGAATTTGTTTTTTTTTACTTTTGATTCAAATTTCTCAAAGTCTGAAACAGTTGATGCTTCTGGCTGGAGTGTCATATTATATTTGTACCTATCGAGCATACTAATTGATCTTCCTATTGGGTCCGCCATATGATAATTTGAATCAATGAATTATCAATTGTTGTTTTTCGTAAATCTACGTTTCCTTTAGAAACGTCTTAATTTTTTGCTCTTTTACTCCCTAAATCAAGTACCCTACTTATCAACTAGTGGGTTTAAGTAAGTTCAATTCACAAAGAAATTAGTTAAGTTTAAATTGAATGTTAATCAATAGTACCTTGTTGAAATATCTACACTTATGAAAACAAATTCTATGCTTCGAAAACTTAATATATATGTATATTTATATATATATATGTACGAATTCCCCTTATTAAAGAATGTAAGACCTATGTATAACTTTAAGGTAAAGAAATGTGTAAAAATTGACCTATGTAGAACCTATGTATTACTTTAAGGTAAAGAATTGTATAATAATTGACCTATGTAGAACCTTTGTATAACTTTAAAGTAAAGAAATGTATAGTAATTGATATACAACAAAAAAGAGAAAAATCAAATCATTAAAAAGGAAGTATCTGGAGGTGTATGAACAATACCATAGAAATGCAGTCATCTTGAACTCGATTAAAAAGTTTTTTTAATAAAAAAAATTCCACAAAACCCCATTCGCATTTACAAAATACCTTAAGTTATTATATGGCAAATTTCTTAAAATGAATTTTTTTTTTGTTTATTACAATCAAAGTACGCCACTAATAAAGAAAATTTTAATCCAATCCTTAGTCTTACAGATAGGTAAAAATGAAATTATGCTATTTTAGAGAGTTTTCTATTTTTAAAATATCAAAATATCAATACTTTAAGTGTTAATTTAGAAAACTTTTATTTTGTAAATTTTTAATATATACATATATACATATTTTTCTCCCTAACCGTAAACGTAGAATATGGTCAATGATATTAACTACAAACTAGTTATTTTTATAAAAAAGATAAGGCCTACAAAACTAACTTAATTTAAATATATGATTCTATCTAAAACGAAGATAACGTGAAAGAGTATAGACTATATCTGTAAAGGGTTAGGCTGCTTCAACATAAAAAACAAAATTTTTAAAAAAATTTGTCCTAAATACGGTATGATTTTAAAGAGAAGAAAGAAAGAAATGTTACTCTTCTTCAAGGTTAGGTGTAATATTAACTCCTTCATGATTAGATGTAATATTACTTTTTTTATTGTACTATGCAATATTATCTGCTTGAAGGTTAGACAGAATATTATCTGCTAAAAAGTTAGAAGAAATTTTGATGGTTCACCAATAATTTAAAGCCTGAAATTCATTAACATTGAAAGTCACAGTGTAATTAGGAGACAGAGTTCTAAAGATGAATGAAGGTGAGAGATAAAGATAAAGAGATAATGAAGTTTAGTAGTTAGTATTAGTTAGTATATTTAGTACTTTATAATTTTCATTAAAAATTCTCTATATACCATCGAGCTTATGTATGATTTGCTGAACGTAAGAGGAAAGCGGCAATTATTTGTTAAGCAAACTATGTTGCATTCACTTATTGCAGTTGTGAGACTGTTATAAACAAATATGCTTAATCTCTTTCCCGATAATTTCACAAGAATTATTAATAAATGTCTCTTAGCTTGTTGCACAAACTGAATTAAGTACTGTTCGAAATATTCGACTTATAAAGAAATACATGTTAAATACAAAAAAGACATTTTATTCGAAATAGTTCGCACTTCGCTTTTACTGTATTTGTTTTCGCTGCTTAGGAGATCAATCACCATTCTTTCATAAAGAGAGTTACAGTTCTTTGCTTTTATAGGAGTCATCAGTTCTGTTAAGTACCTATTCTTTGATCCGTAAGAGTTGTTTAAGTTTACATAAAAATCATACATAAAAGCATCGACTAGCTTTTTTTAATAGTGAGCTGTAATTTAATAAATAGTTTTCTTACAAAGACTTGTTCCATCTGTATTTTTTTATATGATTTTTAATGTTAGAAACCTTAAAAACTCAAGTCTGTACTTCTTTAATATACCATTATTTATTTTATATAGCTATGAGGTAATCCATAAATTTATTTTTTAATGGTAGAAATTTAGTAAGTCACATTTTGTAATACACATGCTTTTTAATAAACTACACTTCTCACCACAACTGAACCACTTCAACATCAAAGCACATTACAGTTCATCCTTTAATTAAAAAGTTGTAGCAATTGAAGTATTTTACTAAAATATTTTTAGATGATTATGGAAATGTGAACTTTCAGCCCTTATACAAAAGTTGCCACGTTAACCGAATACCACCTTACTTACTCTTAAGCTATCGCAATATATCAGTGGTAAGTTCAACTCTGAATATATAAAAATGTAAAGTAAAGCCAATACCAAAAATGGTAGTAAAATGGATATCAGAAACTAAGAAACAAAAAAAAATGTTTATTGAATTATTTTAAAAATATATATATTTCTTTATATAAAAATTAATCAAAATATATATACACAAATTATTTATTCACACATAAAAACCAAACATAAACAGAAACTGAAACATTTAACCATTTAAGTTAAAGTCAATCTCCGATATACTCATACGTAAATGAAGCGGCAGGAATTCGCACTAAAAATTATTTTTCACATTTTCCAAGCCACAAAACAATTACTCAAATTAAATATATCAAAAATAATAATAAATGAATGTAATTTTTTCTTTACTACCACAGAATTATTTTAACTTTATATCATATCAAGAGCATATTTAAGCAAACTTACAAAATGCAGTCATTAATATAAAAAACAAAAGCAACAAAAAAAAATTAAAAAAAACATAAAATAAAATGCATGAAAAAATTAAAATTTACATAAATAAAAAACTTCAAAGAATTATAAAAAAATGCAATTAAAAAATGTGGGAAACGAATTTTTGGTTTTCTTGGATTTTCTTTTTTCCAGACCACCATAAGAGGGTCACGTCGCAATCGTACTACCAAATCGACATTTGTTTCCAATACACAAATTGTGAGTGTGTTAGTAAAGCTTTAGTTAAAATTTTTTTCAATAAAAAATAGAAAATAATTGAATATAAAATAGTAGCAGCTAAAAAAATAAAAATTTTAAATTTTTTTTAGAATTTTCACTTACACAAGAACCCAGCAGAAAAATAATAGTTCGATTCAGATACATATTGCAAATAATTTAAATTAATAAAAATTGATTACAATATTTTTTTAAATATTTTAATTTAATTTTATTTTGAATACATTTAATTTAAGTACCATTATATGTTTGTATTGTATTAATTGGTATATTGAATTCGTTGTTTTAATTTTATATCCATAACATTAGTTCATAGAATATATTGACGATACTCATACGCACCGGTGACCCAGTTTTTTGTTACGTTTAATGCAAACGTTAAAAGGTTACAATAAATATACTTTTTCCTTTGCAAAATATTTTATATTAATATAGTTTTATGCATAAATTGAATGTTTTTATTTTCTAAATTATTATATAAATTTCTCATTTACATACATTTGATAAATGTTTTCTGTTAAGTTAGAAATTCCTTAAAGTATTGTTTTACATATTTGTATATTTTTAATTTATTAAAAGTAGATAAAAAAAACAATTAAGCATTTTCTCTGTGAATGCCCAGTTTTGGCCTTCAGAGAATATAGGTCTTTAAATAAATACTTTTTTAGCAATTTATCAAACTATTCATCGGTTAGGACAAAAGATTTATTAAATTATCTAAATTCGATGGAGAGAAATTAGTTTGTGTTAACTCGTGATACATAATCGTTCATATCAATAATATATTGCAGATGTCCACATTAGCTTATTAAAGAGTTCTGAATTTCTTAAAACTCCAAACAAATATATTATTCCTAAGCAGTCGTAACTAACGGCAGGCTTGATACACTGCATTTATTTCTGCGGTAACACCACGACACTTTTTTTGACTCCAACAAGATGAAGATACAAGTCGATATTAACTCCTCTGTTAGTACGCACATTCAAAACACTGAAAACATGCCTTCTTTCTAAAACCAGATGATCAATTTGAAATCTTGTTATTGATCAGATGACATACATATTGCCTTGTATATATCCAGATACTGAAATCTAGTAGTACTATCAACTATATTTCTACACACGGCGAAATCAATCAACTCTTTTTTATTATCAGAACTTTTTACAAGAAAGCTGAACTTTATGATAGTAAGACCTTTTTTATCCACCTTTGCATTAAAGTTTTTTACAACGATTATAATATCATGCGTTCATTTACTTATTCAAGCTGTTTATAGAAAGTCTCTTAATCATCATCTTTATTTTCCGTCGGTTAATATGCCGACGTACAGCTGTATGGATGCTTACTTACCTAAATAGCCATAACAAATCTTTAAAGGATTTCTGCCTGATACATCATGTATATTTAGGTATCTTAGCTGACTGAGCGATTTCTCTAGTCTCGTACATCAAGTGCTGTTAGTGCTTCATCAACTCGATCCGATCCATCAAAGACGCGGCTCTCTTCTTTCTTCCTTCATCCTTTCAAATATCTTTTTCACTGAAACATTATCATCCATTCTCATGACATGGCTACGCCAATGAAACCGCAGAATATTAATTCATTGAATTATATCAATGTCATAATAAAGCTCGTATAGCTCTGGGTTCACTTGAATGCAGAGGTCGTCGCCAATTTGTAGACCTTACGAAAAATTTCTTTCTCCGTATAGATGCACCTGCTCTGTAAAGAGTTTGAATATTCTTATATCATGTTCCTTAAAATGTTTGAATGCCTCGTTAACAGTATGCGGAGTCCTTATTCAAGGTTACTCTTCGTTTTCATTGGTTTTAAATGGTGAATTCTAATTCTGGCAGCATTAGTGTAATACGCGCGGATGATTGTTCCTATCTAGAGAGAGCCACGTGAAGGCTGTATGTCAACTTCAAGGAAACACTGATACGGATCGTACTAGCCTTCACTAAGTTGAGCGAAATTAGACACTAGATGCCCTAGTATGTTCACTTCCCCCCATACTTATAAGGTTGTTGGGAATTTATATTAAAGTCCAGTAATATTTAAATTTAAAATTCTTTTAAATGTTTTTTATTTAATTTGTGAAATATTTATGAAAAGAATTGAAATCAAAATGTTGAAGATTATAGATTTTGTCCATTATAAATTGACAAATGTGGTCATATACTATTTTTCTATTGGGTTTATGTTGTATATTCTTGCTGGTTGCGGTTTCAATTGAAATAACCAAATAAAACGCAGCTTTTGTAAAATATTCAAATAATGCATAAATAGAAATAGAAAATTGCCATGTATAAAGTAGCTTAATAACTAACGCACACACACACACCCACAGAACAAATAAGCAAACAAATAAATCAGTATATGTTATATAAATTGTATATAAATCCATTAGCTTGTCATTTTAGACATTATCAAAATAAGCAACCTCACAATCATTAAATCAAATGCTTAAATTATAAATTAAAATTTTAGACTCAATATATTCAAGTAGTTAAAACTCAAATCAACCTAACTCAATCTCATTTTTGAACCCGAACTCACACACACTCAAACAAGCATTTGTGCTCGTTTTCATTGTACTTTTGTTAATTTTCACATGCCATGTAAATGTTACTTGCTTTAGGCGTTTAACGATTGAAACGCTGTCAGCATGTCAACACAATCATTGACAGCATAATAAACTAGCATGTAGACTGGCGTAAGCGTACTCTCACTCTGACTCTCACTCACAGACATACACACACGCACACACCAATTGATGCCCACACAAATGGAATATAAAAAGAGATAAAGTGACTCATTGACAGACATTTTAAGAAATAACGATACACGGTGTAACACTTGATTTGATCGTTTCATGTCAAGTTTGTCTCTGTATTTGTTGCTTTCGCAATTGAAGAGCAAAAAGAACTCAATTTCTATTCACGCATCAACAAAATATAAAAAAATACATTTCCGTTGCTGTTGTCTCGTGCAGTGCACTTTGTTATATAGAATTGCTAGACTTGCATACATATGCAGATGTGTGTATTTGTATGCATTTGTATGTGTGCGTTCGCAAATATAACTCACAGAGCCATTAACATTGGTTCGCATGTACGCTTTCAAACAATTAAATTCAATTTTAAATTCCACACATGCGAATGTCGAATGACACATACGTTCTGGACTGACACGCATTCACTTAACCAAATAGCCTCCCACACACACACACACACATAGCTCACGTACATTCGCGTACACGTACACGTACATGTATTTGAACACGTTTCAATTTCACGCAGTTTTTCACATTCTTAGTAAATTCATGTATTTGTCTCATGCGTGACGAACTTCTTACTTTTATACTTTCTATCTCTTTCTATTTTTACTTTTTTCCTTCTCTTTGCATACAAAAACTCTGCGTATTCACTTCTCTTAAACATAATCGCTTGTTTACATGGCTTATTGATCCATTAAAAAAAAAATATTCAAATAAAAAATATTGAAACACGACTTAATTTTGTGTACCCAATATTCATCACAAATCCTGCCTGCACTTCCCAGAACGTTGGCTGGGACTTACCTCATGGTCATTCGTTACAAGCACGTTGTAAAGATTTGGGTCTCTATAAAATACTCGGCGAATCGAGAGTACTCTGTTCGAATGGTTTATGGGCGCCACGTATGCCATCTTGTGTACCGACAACTTTATTAACAAATTTCTCAGATGATAGTGCACCTTCAATAAGATATAAGGTAATTAATGGTTCTGGTGCATTTGAGCCATCTGGTGTATTAGCTGTACCACCACAGAGCACCATACTGCTTGATTGTATATATCCCAGAATAAGAGGTATACCAGAATGGACCTGGACTAGTTGGTATATGCAATATCCAACAGGTATGTGATTTTAACCGAAAATATTTATACATGCAGTTGCGAAACAATGGGTGGGCAAGTGAACAACTGATCATAGCATAACAAAGTTCAAGAACCGTTTAAAGTATATACATTTACCAACAACGGGCATTTATTTAAAAAAAATACATTAAATAATTGTACTGTTCCCTTGCGCCATATAAATACGTACTGTCACTTACCTACTACATATCCTATAGTATTTAATTATTCCTCTACTATTTAAAGGTTGGTCAACAGTTCATGAGGAGAAAAATTTACGTTACCGTCTTACCATTAAGGATATACAGAACAGTGATACGGGCACTTTTACTTGTACCTCACCACGCGGTTTAACAAATTCTATTTCAATTGTTGTGGCCACTTCTACATGTCCGCAGCTTCCAGAGCCGGTGTCGCCGCTCACGCTACGCCTCGAAGGTAATAAGTTGGGTCAGCGTGCTATGTATCGCTGCCCACCAGGTTACCGTATTGATGGTGTTATGAATGCAACATGCTTAGCTTCGGGTAATTGGTCATCGCCGCCACCTACGTGTCAGGCGGTACAATGTCCACGTTTATTATTAGACGATCCACATTTGTCATTAGTGGAATTGAATACGTCGGCTTGGGGACGGGCGGTGTTCAAATGCCAATGGGGTTTTAAGCTGACCGGCCCACCGGGACTGGATTGTACACCGACGGGCGTGTGGAGTGGCCCAGTACCACGTTGCAAAGGTAAGTTAATTGATGTCGATTATTGAGAAATTTCGAACAGATTCGAAATAAGTTAATATATAATTTTTATATAATAAAGTAATATATAAAAAATTCTTTATATTTTTGATATGTATATATACCTATATATTATTTGCAAGTAATTAAATCTTAGGCGATAGTAGTCACAATTATTGAAAAATATAATAAATGGGACAATACCTATAGAAAAAGTTTGTATTTTAAACCTTTTTGTCGATTATTAGGTCTATTCTATTTTTAATTAAAAGAAAACACGTCATTTCACTACTTATGTAACTAAGTTTGCTTGGTGTGAACAGCAATGTTAATAAGATCAATTAATTAACATATTTGAAATAATAAATAAATATATTATTAAATGGAAAAATAGTAAATTATGTGGTTGAAACATTTTTCTTATAGAAATCAATCATTAATATACTGACCAGTATATACTTACAATCAATAAAATAAAATCATTTAAATAAATTTAATTTTATTTTACAAATTCAACATAAGGTTTACTACAATTTTATATTACAAGTAATCTATTTTAATGAACACTTGCATATTTTTATCTTCTTTTTTTTTAAAATTAATTATAACTACAATTCCAGCAATTCAATGTCAAACACCGGTACCGCCATTAAATGGACGTATTGGGGGCACAAATTTAAATCAACGCCGACTTACTGTTGGAGCTCTGATCACTTTCAGTTGCAATGAAGGACACACGCTGGTAGGCGAACCAAGCATAATTTGTACAGAATCCGGTCTTTGGTCACACCAACCGCCATTTTGTAAGTGTTGCATTATAATTTATAAAGGCCATGAAATATTTAATACTGAATACTGAATATACTGAATGCTGAATGAAAAGGCAATCCGAATAAAAACCAAAAGTGAATAAAAAAAAATTGTGAACCCAAATTGAGTTCAGTATTGAAACAGTTGTGTGATTTTAATTGGTAAAATAAGTTTTAAGTAGAACGCAACTGAAATGCTATGAAAAGAAATACAGAGAAATGTGAAGAAAATAAAATTAAATGAAAATGTGAATTGTTGAAGATATTCATATAAATTCCAAGGATTTTCCAGAATTATGAATAATGCGTAAAAGTTTAGGCTTATAACTGAATTCCATACAAAAAAAAAATAAATGAAGCCTGATTATGAAAATTCAATTAAAACGAAAAAATTTATTTTAAAATTAATTTTCATATTTATAATAAAATTGAAAATTCATTTAATAATATATATATTCAGTTAAGGCGTAAAGAGGGGTTTTGAAAATACTTCGAGTTAAGAAAGAGTAAAAATGCTCAAATGCACTGGCTCAAATAGCTTCAACATAATTTTCAGTTTTTTTTCATTTTCTTTTTTACTTTATTATTTTTGATTTTAATTTATTTAAAACTTATAATCAAGGAATTGTTTTATAATGCACACTTAAGGTTCAGTTAGTCAGTACGTACCCCGCGTAAGATCTTAAGCGAACTTAAACCAAAGCGAAATGCACAAACAACCATACCTGTGTATTTGATTGCGCACTTCAGTCTGACTTAAATTCTAACGGTGCGTACCTACTAACTGAAGGCTTAAGTTAAGTAACAGTAAAGGCCCAGTGTAAATTACGCCAAAAAAAAACAGATGTGAACGCTGCGTGCACACTTAGCGGTTATAAGATATATAAAATCAAGTAAAATAGTGCATACTAATCAAACTGCATGCGCGTTTCTTTGCCACAGGTGTACATCGGAGACAAGTATTTGGTACTATACAATTGAAGTGTTACTTAATACTTGAAACGAAAAACATTTCATAGTCAAATCGTGACTTAAGTTTGTTATGTATTATACATTTGTCTTACAAGTATCTGAGAGATACATGGATGTTCTACATTAGTTCTTATTATACTCTTAATAATAAATAATAAATAATAATAATATAATTATTTTAATAATAAATAATAATATTATTTTTATTTTAATAATAAATAATAATAATATTATTTCAATAATAAACAATAATAATAAAATAATAAATTATTGAAATTGAATTTTTTTATAATGTGTTTAATATGCTTATTTCTACTTTTAATTCTCATCAGGCAAATCACAGTGTCCATACCCAGGTGATCCACCAAATGGTCTTATAGCTCCACTTAAATTCAATTATGATTCCGGCGATTATTTAACCGTACAATGCAGACCTGGTTTTGTGCAATTCAGTGAGCACGGTCCACCTGACCGTCCTAAGTGTCAACCGGATGGCAATTGGTCCGGCCCTGTACCAAAGTGTCGAAGTTATGAAGAAGTGTAGCTTTTTAAAACGGCTGATTTAGTATCGTCTAAGGAAGAGTAAGAAAACCAACTAAACTGTAATGTGTGTTATGTAAAAAGTAAATATAGAAAACTGGTGTAAGTCTTTTTTTAAGATGAATAGAAAATTTTATTTCGAATCTCAAAATTTAATGTAAAAATGCTCCGAAAGTGCAAAAAATAAAAAAGTTTAATTTATTAACGTTATTGTATGTATTTTGCAAGGTGATATTTAGGTAAAGCGAATTAGAAATTAAAATTTAATTAAATTGGATTAAATTAAATTAATATATATACATATATATATATATATATATGAATGTAAAGTAAGTTATATTAAAAGAATATATAATATCTTAAATTTTTATTAATTTCCAAAGAAAAAAATAACTAAATATGCAGTCCTATGGTAACTTAACAATATCCTGAATTAATGAAATAGAAAATTACTTTCTTCCATGTCTTAAAAAAAATTTATTTACTTAAAATTACATAAAATTAAAATTGTTTGGTATTTATTACCAGTTTAGAATCTTTGTAAATAAAAATTTATATATATGTGTGTATATATATACATATATAAATATAATAAATTTATTATCTACATAAGCCGAAAATTAATAATTAAAACTAATTGAGAAGCTAACAAAATTAAATAAAATGTGATTGTAAAAAATTTATTAATTATCGTATTTAAACCAAATATTTTGAATGTACTTTTCAAATATTTATGAAAAAATTCAATTAAATGCAATATATTTAAATTACTAATTATAATGAAAAAATTATATATATATATATATTTATTTAAAGCAGAATTTTTTCGCTCATATCGCAAAAAAATTTATTGAATTTATTAGTTAATTTATACTTGCATTAATGTATACAAAAAAGAAGTGACGTTAAAAGTATCTTAAAGAAATAAAAATATATAAATAATTTGTGCTGACTTTTAAACTGTTTAAATCAAAAAAACTAACTTAAACAAATATTAAAAGTATAAAAAGTATAAAAAGTTGTAATGAAATATGTTTAAATTGACATACATACATGCAAGTGACATTCAATAATGCATACGTGATGTATGGTTGAATGTAATTGAAACGCGAACATATTTAAATAAAATGCATATCGACGCAGAAAATACTATTTATGTCTTTTTAATTACCTTTTGCACATATACGGATATACTATAAGTCAAAACTTTAAGAGATGTAGTCCATCTGTGATTAATTAATAACGAAGAGAAATTGCACGAAGAGAGACTCTTAAGCTAACTCAGATAACTTAAGGCTATTGACAGACAGAACAATATCTCTTAGTTCAAGATCACAGACTGTATTCGGTTCAATGGCAACTGAAAAGAGCTACTAGATTCGTTTCTGACAATAATGAAGCTTAAGCAGATAATAAGAGCGGAAGTCTTGCTTTGAATATCTTAGAATTTGTGCAAAACTATGTCTTTTTGACCCGCATTTTAAAGGAGTTAGTTCAGGGGATGTCTAGTTAAGAAACCAGTGTTTAAGGTGAGTTAACATCAATTCAGGTTGAGGAATCCGTCATTTTTATTGTTGATTTGAATTAGCATCTTGCATTGCCTGAAACCCTTCAAATTGATGTGTAGGAAACAGTTTGTATTCGATTCTTTTAAGAACTGATATAGTTTGATAATTGTGTAAGTTATTAAGTTTCCATGAACGAAGCTATTGTGCTTTACAGTCGAACTTATATTTAGTGATTTTTTGTGAAATGTATTTATGAATAAAGGAAATTCAAACAAGCAATGTGTAAGAATATTCACACTGTCACTGACAGTAACAGTTTATTATTTACATAAGATCATTGCCAATTCTTAGTGGTTCCACAACATCACTGATTTCGCCGAACTATATCACAACTTCTTTAGCCGATTGAATGCAAGACTGTCTTTCCACTGTTTTACTTTATTTAACTTACTAAAACTTTATTACATACCAGTTGTCCACCTGATCTTTATGGTGATTTGATATTAGAAGTCGGGGAGTTCTCTCATTAATTAATCAGAAATATCTTCAAAGTTGATGAATTATTATTTATTTTTAATAAGCAGCTAGTATTTTTTTCGTAACAGTTCGAACGATGTAAATTGTCTCATCAGTTTATTTACGGCCCACAAAATCAAATTAGTTATTGGAGAGAGCCATAGTGTACATAGAGTACTTCCTTTTAGACCTTTAGACAGTAAGATTTAGAGATTTATTATATTTTAATTAGCTAAGTATCCAATATTAGTTTTTTTATAGAAGTGGTTTATATAATGAATTAAGTAGACATTATGCCATACTGTGGGGACACTATAATTGACAGTATATTAATATAAATTATATATTATAATTATAATATAATTAGTAATTATAATTAAAAAATATTATATATACAATAAAAATTTAAAAAGTTTTCCAAAAGAATATCTTCGCTACCCTGTTAACAGAAAATATCTTTAGTATCCCCGTGTGGTTACTCAACTGCACAATCCTTATGTACTAAAATTATGACATACTTGGTCTGGATTGAGATTACTCAAAGATCTAATCGAAAAAATTTTTAGAAAATGCTTGATATTGCTTGCCTTACAAATCGAACTTCAAGTACTTCAATAAATTTGCAAGAATATCTACTACAAAATCAATATAGGCTTTTAACTATATCTTGGTATTCTTAGAGTCCAGTAATTCTGTGCATGGCTTGCAGTTATACAGATTAAATTGAACTAAACTCACCTTTGTTGTCCAACCGCAAATATTCTTTTCCAACCGATAGATTGGGTGGTCATGCAAAAAAATCGCAAGATATTGTACTTCAGTGTTGATACTCGACCTTGGACAGTTGAATATCGATATAGTTATATCACGTAAGTTTTGGATTTGGTGAACTTCCGAACACAAATGCAACCACAAAGTAGTACAATAGTAAATTTAAAGAAAAATTTATTTGATATGAAAAGTCGGAAAGAATTTCATTAATTTTGTTTTCTTCTTGTCAACAATTTTTAAGGTACAGAATTGCTGAAGCCAAAAATTGTTCATGATATTTAAGTAACTTACAAAGGAACTACTTAATTATTTGATCTCAAATTGAGTCTTTAGTTCTTTGCATAGAACCATATTTATTTCAATCAAGAATGCCTTTTAAATCACTTTTCCAACTTTTAATGTCGAAATTATTTGCATATTTTAAAATTTTACTCGACTGAAATATTCTATTGCTTTTTGCTAATAATTTATTTGCATATTAAACATTGTAGTGAAAATATTGACATTTTCCTATTAGCAAGACTACAAAGTTGAGAAACTTTTGATTTGTTGAAAGGATTAACAATTAGTTCTACTTTAAGGATGAAATTGTTATCATTCGAAAATACATAAAACTTTTACAAATCTTAATAAAGTTAAATATAAAATTTGCTTTCCTTCTTATTGCCTTCGCTCTTAGTTCTTGTCGAGAAAAAAGTTGGATTTTGTAAAATCTTGAATGATTTAAAATAAAGCAGCTTATAGTGTGCATTTTCCTAAAGAAGCTGTCAATATTCTTTTTTTTAACATCAGGAATCTAAAATTCTTTTCAAGGACATACGTCTATATGCATACATTCAGAAAGTGTAGCTACAGGCTCACTCCAGTAGAAGAGCTATGTTCATATATATGCAAGGATTTTCAGTATAAGCCAATTCGTGCTAGAGTTTTTGTTTTGTAATAAAACCGCATAAAGTTTAGAAAATGTATATTTGCATATCAAAACCTGCACGCACAGCCTTTCAGTCTTAAATTTTTACTGCCTCCATAGCTCTATTAGAAATATGTGTGCTCCTATGTGTGCACAAATAGGAAGAAAACTCCATGGTTGTATGCATGAAGGTAAAATTAAAATTTAAAACGCTTTTTCTGCTATTTTGAAATTTAAATGAATTTAGTTGAGTTTACGTTTACGTTTTACGTTTTACGTTTGCTCGTATATTTCATACATGCACGAGTATCCATTTTCACTTTTCCTTCTCGACTAAGCTAAGCCAAAGGACTGAAGGGACTTGATTGTAAAGTAACAAAACATACTGTTTGCATAACTGTGGTATGAAAAAGATTGAAAATAATCTTGTAATATACTGAGGAAATATTCAAAATCAGTCGACACCAAGAATGCAGACCACTACTCTTACCAAATTCCTACAATAGAAAATAATATGCACTTAACTGATATTGATAAATGTTTTTAGGTGTAGGAATTAATTGAGTAAAATAATTATAATATCTAATCCAAGAACCAAATAATTAATAATTAATAATGGATAGAGGATTTCATTGTTATAAAGGTAAGAATCTATCTTCAAATGACACAAACACTCAACGGCATTAAAAGTAGCCCAAGGAGAATCCATATCGTACATAAAATCTACTAGGAACGACAAACAGGATGAGCAACAAAGTGCAAATACGAACAACTCTAATTTAGCATGCATCTTCATAAATATAATAACACTTGTGTAGCTAAGGGACATATTTTAGATAAATTCCCAAACCGAACGCCAGCTACATAAACTTCAATATTATATATATACATATATATATGATGAACAATAAAACAACTTTTTATCAAAATTCGCTTTATTCATTAATGTAGACTCCAGCAAGAATAACACAATTATTCTAGCGCTTCTTTAACATTTCGATTTCTCTCTTTCAAAATGATTCATCTTTAGCCTTAAAATATGCCTTAGTTTTGACAATGATTTCTGAAACATTCTTACGAACAGATAGTGTTCTCGGGGGATCAAATCTAAAAAATCCATTGAGTGCGAAAGCAATTTGAAGTATTATTCATACAATTTAACTATGATAGCAAACGATTTGTGACACGACGCATTGTCTTGGTGAGACTTTTTTCTTCTACTTATGAGGCCGCTGTTTCGCTATTTCCTCATTTAAACACACCAAATGGACCAAGAAGCGATCTCTATTGATGGTCGATAAAAAAGGAACTCAAAAAATTTAATAAACAATATTCCATGCGCATCACAGAATATAACCTTGTTAGTTGTTTCCTGCTTTTTAGACCCATTTAGGTTAGGTTCGCCGGCTGCTGTTTACTCAGTTGACTGCTAATTCGACTCTGAAGTACAGGGATGTATCCATGTTTCGTCCATTGTTACATACTGTTGTAAAAAGTCCATTGTATATCGCTTCAAGAGATCCAAACAGCTTTCAGTATCACGTTGTTGTTTTTGGCCAACTGTTAGCACACATCGAATGGAACTTCCTTATAAAAA